TTTAACGTAGTTATTTCTTGTTGTTTCTCAGTCTATTATTAATTTAACGACAACGGTGCGATTTGTATTTAATCTTGATCGTTTTTATGCATGTTAATGACGGCATTATGTGTTTTTGATTAATAAACTGAATAATTGTTTTGCATATTTCAGAATTTTTTCGTGCATATTTGCATACGCATTTTACCGTCTTTAGCTCCTATAACTTCCGAGCCCTAATTATTATTATTGATGGATTCAGTAGTATGCCATCTCAAACAACAATAAGTAATCATTAAACTCGATTACGATACAAGTATTATATACATTTTTGATTAGTTGAATTTTCAGATTACTATATATTTGGCAACGTTGCGTGGAATTATAAAAACCGAGCGTTCTCAATCGTAATAGTCGAAAGAGTCTAAAAAAGGTATCGACTATAATGACCGTTCCCAATCGCATTTCTGCCACCTATATACTTCAGACCATCTTAAAAAAAAAATACCTGAACTGAAATATTTCGCGTTACTATCGTTCGCGTGAAGCACCCGATGTATACAATATACAGAGTCATTCACTAAATGTGCTCGCCCCATTTTTTTGGTTAAATTTTGCACATATTCAAATTTTGATTATTGGAAATTTTAAGTATAGTTAAAGTCGATATTTTCGAATAGTTAGATTTTTCACAACATTTCAGGAGTATCATGTGGTAATACCGACTTTGGTTTTTCAAATGAGAACTTATATTAAAAATGTCATAAATAGATGGATAATTACTTTAAATACATTTCAATGTTTACATTTTTTATTTCCACTTTTAAGTTTAGGTAGGGGGAGAGAAGTGGAGCACTAATGCCGTGACGTCACACTAATGCCACTCCATTATTCTCCCCCTACCTAAACTTACAAGTGGAATATCTCGTCAACGGGTGGACGGAAATCAAAAACTTGAACACCTAAATTTATTTAAAGTAATACTCCATTTAATTACGGATTTAACTACACTTAAAAATTCCAAAAATCAGAATTTCAATGTATGAAAAATGTAACCAAAAAACTGAGGTGAGCGCGCTTAGTGAATCATCCTGTACATCTGCCCGGACCGCAATAATATAATTATGTATAATCCGCAAACGTACATAAGTCGCGTAAACTAAAATTAACGTATATTATTATAATAAATTTACATTCGGCGGTGGCCCACTCGTCCACCGCCGCCCACGACCGATTTCACTTTCTACAGATTCGTTATCCGCGGGTCACCTATACGCGCGCCTATAATTTACTTACCTGTTAGGACGCACTCTGTCCAGTCGCACCGGGAAAAACGATAAAATTAATTCAGATTACCCGCTGTAACGACGATGTACCTATACGGTTAGAAAGTAGCCTGATTTACAACTTTTTGCATATTATTCCGGTGCCAAAATTGTTCAGCAAAAGTAATACATTACCTACTGTATATTATTATTTTAATAATATTACGTTACGAGTGTAATTTATTACAATGTGTACGTTCATTTCGCACGCGATTTAAAATAATATCCGAGCGATCAAATGTTCACCGTAAAAAAAAAAACCGGCGAACTCGCACCGTGCAACGTTTGGCATTATTATCTGTATCGATACCGCGTGGTCGCACGATTAATGAAACAAAAAGTTATTATTGTTTCGAAATCTGATAATTTTAAAAGTTTTTCAAACTCGAATAACTTACTCCGTATCGGTGATATCGAACGAAATTAAAATCAACGGTGCACAGTGGTACAAGATGTCAGGTGCGAGTTTTTTTTTTTTTTTTTAAGATGACATTTTGACGCGATTACGACGATAAATATTTGCGATTTGACGTTTGAATTTGAATAGTTTTGAAAAGCTCGAACGTCATTTTCCTACATTTCCGGTAAAATTGTCTACACCTGACGCCTATTAAATACGGAAGGCGATTCGTCCTCGTAATCAGGGCAGTATTTAAATGATATTTTGTATTATTGTTATGTTTTTTTGTTTAAATTTATATAGGTTAGATTACTATGGTTAGTAATACTCACTCATAGGACTCGTAGCAATTTAGTTTATGCGCCGAAATAAGAAACGATAAACTATTGCATTTCAAAAAAAAAAAAAAAAAAACCGACAGAACTCAGTAAACTCGATTGTAGGTACTACTAATGTAGGTGCTGAGTGACCGACATAACATTCGTTTACAAGACATTCATTATCCCGGAAAGTATTATACTTTCCTCCTCTAAATTGCGATTTTCGATTTTTAGTGGAACGGAGAAGCTATGTTAAGCAGGGGTTCAAACAGGAAGACGCAAACGAGCCATCTACCTTTGGCAACACTTGACAATTTTTTTCTTTAAGAATTCCTTGGAAATTACGGTGGATACGCTGCATATAATCTTTTAAGTCGAATCAAAATAGATTCTTCTCAATTCAAAATAATTATATACTTTTGAAATGTAATGATTTTAGATTTATCAAAAATTATTTTTTTAAATATAACATTTCAAAGTTTTTTAGTAGCTATTATATTATTTTGTAGCTTTACGTGACGTAAGAAAACGACCGTCGTAAATATCCATATCATGATGTATAAACGAACTTCACTCAGAATCATTTTTCGTTAACAATGGTTCATCGTTGCTTACAGATATAAATTAAATAACTTCCCAATTTTCCTCCTACAACTGTGGTGCACTTATCGGCAGTGTCAGCTCTTTTTTTTTTTTTAACTATATTGCCTATGCATTATTTTCGTTGTATTCAAACGTGTAAAAACTTGAATGCAGTGCTCTTCTTTATTACAAAAAAAAAAAAAAACTGAATTCTTTATCATTTATGTCAATCAATCAAAGACATAACAATTAATTTTGAAAACGTTCTATTGGTTTTTCTAAGAAGTGTACTTTTTTTTCTGTCTGTAAACAGCTTTTCGATCAGAAATCTTGCTTCAATCAAAAAACGACCGAAGACTTTTATTTTGTTGCATTGTGGATCTAGTTGATGAATAAGTATGTAGTTGGCATAACAATTAAGAAAAAACGGGAAAAGACGTGAATATAACATAGAAGCAAAACCTGGGAAGAATTTAGAAAGAACGGGAAATAATGTTAGAACTCGGTTAAACATATCTGTAGAGAAATAAATAAATCGCGATGTAAGATATTAGGCACGAAAACCAATTTCGTGTCTTTTGCAGTGAAGCTCGACCGACTAGCCAACCAACCGATTCATGAGCTTCAATGTGTTTTTTATTTTGCAAATTGTCACACAATGATGTTCTTGTTTTTCAACCAAAGTTGTTTGACCAAAACGTTCAAACCCTCATGAAGCTGTACCAGTTCGTAATAAACACGCAATCATTTTTTTTTTTTTTTTTTACAGTCGCTATAATAACCGCATTATTTATACGATTACCTGAACTTGTTCGTCAACAATGTTTGACCAAAGTAATATTGCATTCCGTCATATTTTGCGTTATTTAACTCAAATTCCTGTAAATCATAAAAAAAACACAGACTGTTTACAAATGGAACGTTCTTTAGGTAATTATTAAAAAACCAATCACGAGTTGATATTTATTCTTAAATATTATAAAGTACAAGTCACATTGTCACATTGTGTGCAACATAATATTATAAAATATTCGAAGTGCCAAAACTTAGAAACGGATGAACATACACTATTATTGCATATATTTATCAGAGTGAGGTTTTAAAATTATAAAACGACAGTATTTTAATGGATTGATAACATACTTCGCATGTCTGCGTCAAATTTTTTATCACGTGAACCGATCTTGTTAACACTGTGATGCGTTGGCGATTCGTTTGGCCGTACATATTCGAAATGATTTCTGTTTTAAACTATCCTCTAACCGTTTAACTCAATCGTCCAAAAAAAATGATCTCATCTCGAATACGAAACATTAAAAATCATTGTAAATTAACGTGTACTAGTAAAATATGAACGATATGAGATTTTTTATTCGGGCAGTCGCTTTTGTCGGCGCTTATTTTTCAACGATATTTCGATTTGTTTTTGTTCAATAGCGTTCGATTTAAGCGTTTCAATCAGTTTAATGTTATCGACACATCGGTTTGCGTTATTTGACAATCGGCGTCATATATTTTCCCATCGACATAAACCGTTATAATATGCATTGTAATTTTGAAAATTGTTCGTTTATAGCACGATTTCGACAGATTTGTCCGGGTAATTAAACATTTGTCCTCGTGTAATTCATTTTTCGTATTTTTTTTAATTCAATGAACAATTTCTTCTGAAATATTTGTTCATTGACATACTTTTCATTGTTTTCTGTCTTAGCCGAATTAATATCGTCCATCGAATCTGATATTATAGCATCATTAACGATCACTTCTTCGTTTAATTTGTTTACGGTATTTATAAGTGTGCATTACAACGGTTCGAGGTTTCCACTCGTAACTTCAACAATTGTTTTTATTTAATGTCTGCTTTAGTTTATCGTTTTCCTCCGGGACATAACGATGTTCGCTTTCGCGGGCATTTAATGCAACGCAGACATTTATCAAACGCGTGGCACCTTGATTACCGTCAGCTTTACGACCTAACGTCAAACAAAGATCGGTTCTTAATTCGTCCAATTTGTCTTCGAGTCCAACCCATTTAGTGTCTACGAACTGTACTCCGATATCTTAGCCTTTTGTTTTGGATTTGGATTTGTCCGTATTGCGACGCACGCTAACCTCGGTATTTTGTCTAAGTCGACAACTGTTCTTTAGCGTTTATTACGTATTTACCGGCAACGTTTCTCGTTAGTTTTTCATTAAACATTTAAACGTCGTCTTTGCGCGACATAATATATAATTAGTCCGCGGAGGAAGAATTCTGTACGGTATACTCGCGTATTGAATTAACCGCCGTGAAGTCGGCACTCCGACTTTCTCGTATCGTCTCCGAATTGGTACCGTATTTTTGCAAATTAATTGCAACGATTTGCATTATAATAAGACATACGTTTTTAAATGCGCGACGCGGTTTTACAACGGCAGCAATCAAACGCGGCTCGGGGTGTTGGGTTCACGTTGGCACCCCGACTCACTCGTATCGTCTCCGAATCGGTACCGTGTTTTTGCAAATTAACAGTTTAAATCAACCGCGTTAGTATAGCGATCGCGCGCCGGAGTCGATAGTTATTACGAAAAAATAATAATAATTATGATAGCTCCGTTTTTAGTTTTTACCGGTATTTCATTTTTTTTTTTTTATCGGAACCCCGTAGGCGGCGCGGCGGACGTATCGCCATTTAAAACGAACACAGCCCGATAATACACGGACCTGAGCAAAATTTGTTTGCGGTGCGCAAAAACACGAAACCGTTACGTGCGTAGAGCTATTTGTTCGTGTTTAACGTGCCGATAACAAGTTGATAGTACCCTACGCAACGCAAATACCGCGTACCTACCGTAATACCGTAACGTCGGCCGTACGCCTACGCGCGGACGGGCATATCGAAGTTGTGTGACGATTCGTTGACGCGCGCGCGTGAATATTCCCGTACAACAGCGTTGGGAGTACCGGAGTCACAGCCGAACAACGAACAACGGACGTATTTTATACCGCATACCTACGTTCGGCGTGTGTACGGTCGCGATTGAATACTCCGTACGGTTAAATCGAAAAAAAAAAATTAATAAAATAGAATGTATTATGTGTATATGGTTTTTTTTTTTTTTTCCCCGTAAAACATTATAATAATAAATACTATAAAAAAAAAAAAAAAAAAATGTTAAATATAATTTAGTCAATATTATTGCTTTTTGTTCGCAGTACTCTATACATAATTATGTACGTATAATTTATTAGTTTATTGTTTTGCATTGCGAATTTCGATAATATCCGTTTATATTTCGGCCGACATAAAACAAACGTATTTTATTTATTTTTTTTTTTCGTTTGATTTCTGTTTTGTATTTCTAGTAAAACAAAATTCATAAATCAGAAAGTACACGCGCGTATATTGTTATACAGCGCGTTTCACTCGAATGCCGTTACCGTGAAACATTCCAGTCATTTCGATATTTTCGGTGGTTTTTTTTTTAGGAAATTCGAGGATCCCAACATATGCGTTAAAGTCTATTTTCAAAATGTTAACCTTCGCGGTGCAGTATGTTTGGTTGACATTATTTATAACGGAAACATCTATTTTCAACATCAGATTCGAGTGGTTTTATTTTTTGCTATTTGAAAATTTCCGCACGATACGACCATAATTGATGATTTTGTAAATTTGTTCTCGCTTTTTCAACACATTTAAAACCCAAGATTTCAAAAGTTAATACATATGACTGGGTTTTTGTTTTTTTTTTTAAGGGGGGAAGAAAAAATGATTAGTAGTATAATAATAATAAATTATCCACGCATGATTATACATACGTTTAATTTTTTTTTAACCATTATATATGTCGGATGATTTTTGAAATAGAAACAAAAATAGTAATTCAATAAGTTTATTGCCAGAAAAAAAAAATAATAATAATAATAATAATATTCGAGTCTTCTGTTTAAGGAGCTAAAATGTCTTAAAGTTTTACTGGACAATTGTGCACCGATTTGGTTGAAACTTGATGTATACTTTGCGTATTCCGGTACTTCCGATCTTCTTATAAAAACAACCGTATGTCAGTTCCGTTAAATTATTTCACGTTACCGTTCAAGCGAACCGCACTGTATGATTATGTAGCCTCGCGTTTAGTACATTACAATATTATTAAATCATAAACGACCACCCATATTTTAGCTTATTACAATATTATTAATACGAAATAAACAACACCGGTTTATTTTTAGGTTTAACACAAACATAATAATATTTTAACAAATTATAACGCGCGCAAATGATTAATAATATTTTGACAGTAATTCGTTCGAAAAATTCGATAATGTGATTTTCCTGGGCCTGTCTGTAGGTCCTGTTTTTGACGTATGACGACATTATTTTCATTATTGCCTGTCAAACCACACTGACTACACTGCAATACGATATTAAGTCCTTACACCTAGGACTGTTCGAAAATTTCAATTAATCGTGCCGAATTTCGATTAATCGATTAAGTTTATTTTCGGGGTACTTGGGTACTGACATTATTAGCGTAACTGCAGGCACCCGGCATATAACGCACAATACAACAGCCTATCACTTTCGTGTATCAAAATAGACAGTCATAAAGTATCATTCCGGTTTTTCCGCTCTGTTTTCTCATTTCTGTTCATTGCCATTTGCACAAATAGAGGGAGGGATACCTTCCCAAATCGAGCCCTTAACAATAAATTAAATATCAAGTTTATACGTTATAAAAAATAAGACTCGGAGTCTATAATAGTTGCATATTGTTTTGTATGCGCTGGATTTATAGCAGACCCAGCCAGAACTCCTTTCTATACAATAGAGAGTTTAAACATCGACCATTTAAAATGCATATTTCGCGTATTTCTTCAATTTTCGGTGCTTTTCGCATATTTTTTATAATTGCTAAAAAAATTGAATTTTTTTTTTTTCTTTCTTAACAAATGTATTTTAAATAATGTTGAATATAAAACTCAATATTATTTAACGTTATTTATTGTTATTTCTAATCGTCTCGGTTTGTTATTAATTTAATGATAACGGTGCGATACGTATTTAATCTTTATTTTTTTTTGTGTATATTAACAATGACATAACATGTTTTTGAATAATTGTTTGCATATTTAATATTTTACAATTTTTGAGCTCCTATAACTTCTGATCCCCATTAATTAATATTATGGAGCCCCGTGTGTTTTTGGGAAAAGCCAAAATATTTGGGCCTTTATTGCGTCTATATTCGTTCGTTATTATTGTAACTTTCTATCGATTCGTGATTAATCGATTTCCGACTAATCGTTTTTACGATTAATTTGTTGTTCACGAGAATAATCGATACCTAAATAAAATAATCGAACGCCTCTATAGCTAGGTGTACCTGCCTACAAATGCGTGTAATTATTTTTGGATCGGCAACTAAAATTGATAAAATAAGCGCAGAGATAATAGCATAATGCAATTGTTATACCGCATAAAATGTTATCTATATTTAAATATACGCGAGAACGAGCAATTTGTCGTAGTGTTCTAGCCGACTGGGTCTCGAAACGAAAACTATAACCGTGGCCGGCTGCAGAGATTCGCGCTAGTTTAATATTATGATGAAAGATAATAAAAGTGGGTACTGGGTAGGTAGCGCTGACCCGATGTACAATCGTTAGGTAACCGTGCGATCGACAACGACCACATAATACAGTTCAAAACAAAATGGTGTGCAGGTTGTCCCACCGTTGTGAACAGATTCCTCTAGAGCTGTTAATATTCAATTTGTCTCCCGCCAATCCGTTTTTCTTTGAGGGGAACATCTATTTAGCGAAAAAATAGATTTCCATTTTCATCATGTACGTATCATGTAGCACGATAAAATCAAGTTATTTTACCAACCACGTTATGCGGTATCCTCGTTTAGTGGGTTGTTACTGTAAAATTAATGTGATCGGATATGAATACAATTACATTTTTAGAAAAAATTAATACTTTACAAAATAGCTACTAAGTAAATAATTAATTATTCATTTTTTTTTTTAATAATAAGTGAATGAAAATAAAAATTTAATTTTTCTCTAAATAGTTGTCTTCCTCGAAGAAATAGTGATTTATATTTTTTAAATAATTGTATATTAACAACTCTAAAAAAAAAAAATCATCAAACACCGTAGGATATCCTATTTAATATATTGGTATTTACGTAATACGTTATAAAATAAATCCATTTATATGCAAAACTAAGTATTAAAATATTAATAATATTTATATGAATGTTGTATTTTTTTCTTTCCGTCTGGTGTTTGTTACAAATAACTTGGGCCAGAAATTTTACTTCAATAAAAATAAAAATACCCATGCAAAGACTAGAATATGGAGAATAAAATATAATCCAGAACTCTAGGGTAATTTTCAACGCCCCAACATCACCAAACAAAATCCCAGCGAGAAGAATGAAATGGACAGCACAAGCGCGAAGAAATCGGGGATCAATAATGAAAACTGTAATCGAAAACAACCCAACATGAGGGCGACCACTAGGAAGACCTCGCTAAAAATGGTAGGATATTGTCGTCAAAGATGTAGGAGCGATAGAATTTGGTGTGAAGAATGGCAACAGATTGAAAGAATATTCGCTGGTCTTGAAGGCCGTTATCGCTTAAGGTGAAGACGAAAACAAAACCAAAAACGCGTTTCCTCGGCTGCTTGGTATGCGTGGTGCATTATGGAGGTGGATTTTTGAAATTATTTTTACTGTTTTTTTTTTTTTTACAGGCGATTGGGAAACATACTATGGAAATATAAATATCGAATTATTTTTTATTTTATAATAATATACAGCCGTGTGCATTGTGCAGTGTATACAACTCGGCGAAGAGCAGAGACCGTTTTTCCTCGTGAAAATGTCCATTTTTTAAATCCGAATTTCGATTTGTTTTACACGATAATCATTGAAGTTAACGGATATTATATATTGTAGTAAGAAATCTGACGAATAAATGGTCAACGTCATCGAACGAAAGAGATGATGGTATCCCCGGTTCGTGCCCCGTAACGGTAAGATTCCGCGCGTTCAAAAAATATTGTTCAAGTAGTGTTAGTTTACAAAAAAAACAAAAAAAAAAAACACGCTACGCTCTCAATCCCATGCCGAAATTGATTTTATCATATACCGTTTGCTGAAAAATTCTAATCGTTTTAAATATCTATATATTTCGCGAAACATAAATCCGTATTATTCGACGTTGAAACTATTAAAAATAACAGCTACCAAGTGTTTAAAATATGCAAATTATGTACTTTGACGCACGCAATTTTGTTCTAAACTTATTAAAACATGGCATTTTTCGTGTAAAACAGGACAACGCGAAATGCCAACCTTTACATTTCGTACTGTTCCTGGTAAAAAAGGAGAAAATGCGGTAAATTCCTTAAATTACTATGCATCGTCGTGTTACTGTAGCAATACATCCATTTAATAAAAATTGTTTTTGTTGTTTTCGAAATTGGAAACGTTCTTCGTCGTAGCAATAATATCAATAACACACGTGCCCTAGTCCCGGTACTAAAATATTTTAACGATTTAACTGATAGCAGTAGCCAATAATCATGACGTGCGGACGGCTGAGCGAAATCTCAAATGAATCCATTTTAAAAAAGCTGTCGAAGGATAATGAGGACAGGTGCAGCCACTGTTATAGGTAATTTAATGTACTTATATCTGAAAGTAATGATAAACCATTGCTAACGAAAAACGATTCTGAGCGGAGTTCGGTTGACAATGTTGCTTTGTCAACAATATATACATGTCATATTATGGTAAAATAATTGCATATGCATTGTATATTTTCTTTAATAATATTTGTTTAAGATTGTACCCGTTTTCCCGTTTTTCCTCCTTGGGAAAACTCTTGGGAAAATCAAAAAATGACCTCTTCAAAGTACCTCCTCAGACATATTTCCTTTTAGAAAAAGTGCTATTATTGTAAATCGGAGTAAAATTAATGGTAGAAAAGTTGTCCGCAGAAAAAAAAAATAAATATAAACATTATTGTAAACCAATAAGTTCTTGGCTCCGCTCAGAATCTAAAACAAAAAAAAAAAAAAAACACTTGACGAATATAATTGATGCAGTTCGAAAATCGTAGAATGAAAATCAATATTCGATGAAATTCAATTTACCTGTTAACTTGTGTTATTGCGTTTTATTACACAGCAATTATAATAATTTTTAAACCGATTATTATTATTGTTATTAATACACTGCTAATGCATAACGCATAAAAAAAAGTAATTTACCGTTGCGTTTGGGCACCTGCGGTCTACGTAGTACAAGTAGATCCACGTCTGGGCAGGGTTTTCAATAAATCGATATTAATAAGTACCTAATCGAAAATTACTTACCAACAATTTTGATTTCGAATTACAGTGTACGGTCCCAAACACAGGTTGTGTATAACGCAATTTTTTTGCATACCTACATGTATATTTTTTTTTTCATTGAATGACGTAGTTAGACTACACAAGCCAAAATAATTTGTTTAAATTGAAAAAATTCTTGTAAAACGAAAACTTAATTTCCGTTTAGCCTTGTATAATGTTTTCAGGTTTTTGGATTTAAAATTGCATAATTTCTTTAATAGAATTTTAATGATATTTTCAGCCAAAATACATAACTCGTTTTCAAAATATACAAAATTTTGTAAATACACATGCCGTCCAAAAAAAAAAAATCACATCAAAAACAAATTATATCACGATTATAATAAATTACCAAAATATAAATATTCGGTGAATGTTTTTTATGGATATATTATCATGACGGTTACATACTACGCGAATTATAATTATTATTTCTTTTAGATCTTTCAGTTTTTCAATTCTGGGATCGGCTTATGACAAAACGTGATTTCTCCACCATGTGTGACTGTCGTTCGCCGTGGTTTCTCTACAGGAGGCGACTTTCGGCGTCTTTCGCTAATTGGCGTCTCGTTCTCGGTCTTCTTCACGACCGAGTGCCTTCTACCGCATTCCTTCGGTTTATTTATTTCATCGCCGTGTTTTAGCGTGTGTCCAATCGTCCACCCGACATATCTCCTCTTCTCGAGCATATATTTGTTTGAATTAATAAATTCAATAAAAAAATGTCGGACATTCAAAAGTAAAATGCACAAATCTCACGGTTTAAACGCATTATATTATTAAAATAAAATCGGAAATAAATCGTTTGTCCGATCAGCTCTCGAAAAATACGTGTGCTCTATGGAACTACTCTACCACAACTCCGGTTTTCCAAGGTTTTCTAAGGAATAAGGAACAATAATATTATTGAGAATACGTGATATACCCTCAATCCGCAAGAAACGCTGTTTCCGTCTTTTAACCTTACGACATGGCGAATGTTCGTTCAACAGGTAGAACTTTGTGTTACCTATTTAACGAAAAAAAAAAAATTTAAGAGTGAATTTATCTATTGTCTAACTTACAGATAGCAATATAATTGTCTATCCTGCGATTACGTCGGTTTATTTCGACATTTTAATTTTTAGTTGAGACACGAGAATTTTCAAATATTGTGATATATCACAAACTCATATCTCGTTTAAAAATTAAAATATCCAATATAAACACCGACGATAACGTTCATTACCTATCTTAAAGTTTGACAGTAGGTCAATTCATTCCGATATGTAACAACTGTAATATTTTTAATTCACTCAAAGTAACTGCACAAATTTGTCCCCGCTGAACGAAAATTATCGGATGAATTATCTAATACGTTAGTAAGAGTAACGTCTAGTCGGTACATCGATGAGGTCATTTTCGTTTTATTTTTCTTAATGGGAAAACAGTCGGGTAAAACCACAATAACGGTTTGTGTTAGTTTCAATTTTTTTTTTTTTTTTATTCAATTGAAAATGATTTTAAAGTATACTTACATTAACATATTTTAGACGTGACGGTATAATTTATAAAATATGTTAACGGTTTTGGAGTTTTTCATATTGCTAATCGAAATAATTAATTTTTTTGGTTTTTTGCGGACAAAATTGATTTTGCTCCGTAAAAATGCTCAATAATTTACAAGGCTGTAACCTAACGAGTTAAAACGTTAAAGTTAATTTAATTTAAACTTTTTAACTTAACTAGTTACTTTTGGGTTTCCGTTAATTTATTTCTTTTTTAATAAACGTGAAACGATGAACTAAATTTTCATTTTAAGAAATTAAGTTGGTATTTATGGATTCCGGAGCGAAATGAGACATGTGTTGATTTTACCGTTTGTTGTTTTTTTTTTTTTTTCTGTCAATCGTTTTCATGTTGAAAATATTTCGGTTAATTTTATATTACAATAACGCAGTCGTAGTCGAAAAGCCATCGTCTTTCGCGCACCGATAGTATATGTGTATGGTGTATACAACGCTTGGATACAACTAATGTACTTTTAACTTTTAAGTATGAATGTATTATTGTTTATTACTCATTAGATGGATACATGACCATTGTTATTTTTTTTAAGTAATAACGAAAACCTTTATCACTATATGTATATATATATATATATATATATAGAAATACTGTATATTTATTAACACTAAACACTATACAGTTTTAACTTTTAAGTCGGTAAAAAATAAGGAATAGTATAGTGTTATAGGAAAAAAAAAAAATGGTTTTAAATATATTGATCGGTTTGAAAAACCGTGCGTTAACTTTTAACTTAAATAAGTCAAAATTAAAACTACTAGAATTAAATTGACTTTTGAGTTTTTCTCATTAATGCACATCGACTTGACCGAGTCGAAAACAAATTATTAACGACTATTGCCAAGCCTTGTTAATCCGATACCGGTTTTGCCGTAAATCGTAATAAAAATATAAAAGAAAAACGAGAGTGATTTCCTTGTTTTGATTTTTATAACGCTAACCGAATTCGGCTGAAAATCGTTTTCCGTTATCGCCGTACTGGCACACGGTAAATTATTATAACGCACCGTTATGCGTAGTACACGCAGACGTACTTATTAATTTACTTCCCTACGTGTTTTTTTTTTTTTTCTTACAAATAAACTAAATATTATTACGCACACGAGACGACCGTCGTGTGTGCGTAACGCGATTTTATTAACAACATTATCCCACGGAGTCGCGGCATTATAAACGCATCTCGTTACGTTTTATTACAGGTTTTTTACGTACCAACTTTTCGAAACTGTCGTTTTCGCGAGCTCGCCGAATACCATAATACCCACGGACGAAGAACGGTTTTTTTTTTTTTTTTTTTTTTTTTTNATACGACTAACCGAATTCGGCTGAAAATCGTTTTCCGTTATCGCCGTACTGGCACACGGTAAATTATTATAACGCACCGTTATGCGTAGTACACGCAGACGTACTTATTAATTTACTTCCCTACGTTTTTTTTTTTTTTTTTAATGTGTATTATTGTACACGTATGCGTGTGTATATATTGATATTACTAATACTGTTACGGCGATATTGCCCGCGCGGTGTTACCGATATTATAATTTCGTGTTCGCGCGCGCGCGCATAAATGTCAGTATGTCATCCGGTGCGAAAAAGACCAGTTTAACTCGTATACTATCGGGGAAAAGAAAAAAAAAAAAAATTGAATAAATAACGCGACCATATGCGCGGCGAAGACGTTTCGTGCCGCGATGTTTCGGGGTTCCAGACGCGCGACGCGAGTGGCGTTTCGTAACGTTTAACGGATTTTATGTAACAACATCGACAGACCCGTTAAAAACGGTTCGAAGTAAACGCAGCGCCGCCGCGGCAACTTCGTCTCCGGCCGTCCGGCACGCCACGGGCGGGCGGTCGGGTGCGCGGGCCGCGCGCGTCGTGCATTACGGCGGGACGCGTACCGCAGGTGTACGGGTACGGGCCCGGGCGCGCGAACTGCCGGGTTACAGGTGCCCGGGCGAAACGGCGCACCCGTCCGTCGGGGGCTTCTGCGCGGCCGGCGGAGCGGCCAGAGCCGTTGGGTTTCGCGCGGTCGTTTCGGAGGTACGCGCGACCCGCTTGGCTTTGCGCGAACGGACGGAATTAAGCGAGAACCGGGTCCGCCGTGCCGGCGCCGCGGCGTCACGGAACGTTTTTTTTTTTTATTTTTCACGACTCGTCCGCGACGTCCACGGCTTCGGGGTCCGGCGGGTCTCGCCGCCGTAAAACCGTAAACGTAAAAGCGCGCGCTTACGGTCGCGTTACAATATCGTGCGCGCGCGTACGCGTACCTACGCTTGTGCGCGACACCAGACACGGGCAACGGTCCGAAATCGCTTTTTTTTTTTTTTGTTTTCTCACTCCTTTTCAAGTATTTTCAAACGCGTTTCGTTCCCGACCGAGCGAAAAACGTCCGAAATTACCGACGGTAATTTGCAATACCGATATTTCGCGCGGAACTCATCGGCGCGGCGTCCGCAACATTACGCGCCCGCGTCACCGCCGATAAACACGCGGGCGCGCGTATTGCGGTTGTCGATTTGTCCGTCCCGCGTCACGGAGCCAGCGTCACGGTCGCTCGTCGTTCGTCGCGTCCGCGTCGATCCGCCAGCGACAATTTCCGGGGTTTAAATACTATAGAATAAATCAGGCAAAATGTGCATTCAATAAGAAAAAGAACCTGTTCACCTCCAGAAGCATAGATATTACCATCCGAAAGGATTTGATTAAAACATACGTGTGGAGTGTGGTGTTATGTAGTAGTGAAACTTGGACGGTCGCTAAAGCAGAAGAAAATAGATTATTGGCTTTTGAAGCATGGTGTTGGAGAAGGACGCAAGGAATAAGCTGGAGAGAACATATGACAAACGATGAGGTATTCGCAAAAGCTAAAGAACGAAAAATGTTTCATGAAAAGTTTGAAGAAAAGAAGAACCAAATTAATAGTACATATACTAAGACATAACAGCCTATTGAAAAGAATTATGGAAGGAACGATAGTAGGAAAGAATGTAGTTGGTAGACCACCTCTGGACTACTTACAACAAATAATTAGGGATGTGGACGTCCCAGGCTACAGACACGTGAAGAGGAAAGCGGAAAATCGGGAAGAATGGAGAGTTGCAACAAATCAGCCCCACGGCTGCTAACTAAAAAAAAAAAAATATTTCGGCAGTTTTCCTTTTGGAAAAAGTCGACGACGCGCGTAGACGTTATCGCGCCGGGTAGTTTGTCGACTATTCCGCGGTATTAACGATCGGTATCGAATTTCAATGTTCCCACGGCGGCCGCGGTACAGACTTCGCTGTGCGGACGCGGAACGAAATGACGTACCGGGTATTTTTCGAACGGATTTTCAAACACGAGTCCGTATGAAACACATTGCTTAATGCGATAAAATCAACCATATAACAGTCGATCCGTGGCATTGGGCTACATTAATGTATTCGAACATAAGTCAATTTAATACAAAATATTGTACTGTTCAATTGGCTGCGACTTAAAATCGTGTCAAATTTTTTTTGTTTTTCAATATTGTCCTCCGCATGCACGCCGTCCGAGGACAACGATTAATTATTATATTCGATGTTCCGAGTGTGCTATCGGAATGATATATATGTATATTATTATTTTATGTCGTATTTTAAATAAAACATTTTTTACACAACCATATTTTGTTTTTGTAAATAGCTACCACGTTGTTATATTCCAAATACTTTTTTTTATATACAACATAAATGTATTCCAAATTGTTCTGCCCACCGCGACGTACGTACAAAGTATATACCCACACGAAACACCGTGAGCCCGACGAGTTTTATACGTTGTTAATTCAGGGTCGATATGTTTAAAACGTTTAAAAATACCTTAAAATATTTGAAACGTTTTGAACGCGCCAATTTTTTCGTATAAATTATTTAAAATTTCAAAATTTTAAAATCGCATATACAGAGAGGAACGAAAAAATGTATTATTTTGTTCTCCGTGTATTTTTCGAGAGGGGGGAATAGAAATCGACAAATTATTTTATTCGGTAACTTTTTGGGTTGTGAACTGGTCGCGGATTATACTTCGAAAAGTAAAATTATTTGTGTAATGCGCGGATACCCCTTCTTCTTCTTTTTTTTTTTTTTTAAACCGCATTTTAATTGAAATGAATAACAACTAATGGATTCTAGTAAAAATGTAAAATCACTATAATTATTTGTTAGGTCATATAGTTTACCACAACAATAAAATTGATAACGAAAATAATAAAAAATGCATTGCTTTATAACATGAACAACAGTATTAGTTTAAAACTGTTTTAAATTTATTTTTTAATGGAGAAAAAAACATTGTTTTGACGTTTAAAATTTTTAAAAAATACTCGTTTAATTTTTTTTTTTTTTTTTTTTTTTTTTTGTCAATCCCAGTTGTTACAATTATTACTGTGCACAACTATGTAATGCGTTGGTCGTGTAAATTTTGAACACAGCACGCTTGATTATATCATAGTAAGTTATGCCAATTAAAAATGTCTAGATGACAGATATTAGAAGTGTGTCAGCGAAGCCCCCGTGGATTCTTCGAGGTCAGTACCTATATTCGAAGAGTAAAGGCAGTCCGAGGACGTTTTGCAGATTAAAATTTGTTTTGTTTTTTATACAGTATATAATATTAGACTTGTCTGTGCGGACCATACAGTATATAGTACATAATGGAAAACCATCAACAGATATAAAGCAATAATGTCAATTGACTTGAAATACTAACTATTTTTTTTTTTTTTTTTAAATAGTTATTGCCATTTACCCAGCGAAAATTATTAAACCTGGAGTTAAACCCACGTTCGATTCCGGGAACATCGAACCGCACTTCTTTTGTAACTCTGAACTCGGCACCCGTTATTGGGTAAAAATTGCTGATGATACCTATATTGAAATAATGACAATATTGCAAAATATTATGTATGTTACAGGCACAATTTTTTTTTTTTTTTTTTTTTTAGTTAAGAGTTACGCTGTCTGAACACTGTGTACAGCGCCCAAATCTAATTGGGCAAAACAGATCAAACATCGTAAACTAAATATTAAAACACATTACCACCCACTTATTTTAATGAAAATAAAATACTTTATTGTCCTTACACTGTGCGGCTACGGTTCATATAAAAAATTATAAGTAGTCATACGTAAAATTGTATTTTCATTACCTATTTATTGTTTTACAACTTATCAAATAAATATTTGTGTAATGTACTAATCAATTATTAAGTATTAAGATTTTAAAGTCTGTTATTCGTCGAATCATATCGAGGAACTTAAACTACTACCAGTACTAACACTAATCAATTTGGTCGTCAATAGAGGGTAAGTTTAATTGCTTAATTGCAGTAATAAGTATTAAACTAATGTACATTAAGAATGATACAAATATGTAACAAACGATGTGCAATTAAAACAAACAACAAGCGTATAAAAAATATATCATTAAAATTACAAATGTTGTATAGCATACGATCGTTATTGAGACACAAAAAAACTTCCTATAGTATCAAACGAAAAACGATTCTGAGTAAAGTTCAGTACAGTTACTGTAAAGAACAGTATACGTGTTTTTAAATGCCGTGATTTTTACGATTTTAGTGAAAATTTGAACTTAAAAAAGGGACTACTCTTTTTTACCACTAAATACGACTTATGAATGAACCTCGTATTAAATTTTCTAACATTTCTGTTTGGCCAAAAAAATTGTACCTATCAACAATGTCGAACACATTTGAATTACTTAAAAATCACCAGAATGTTTTGAAAATTAACAGCGTCTAATATAAGTGTTCTGTGAAAATTGCAGGTTTCTACGATGTTGTTTTTAACCGAATTACAAGAAAATAACTTGGTAAACTTTTATCTTCGTACATTTTTCCGTTTTTCGTATACGTTTTATCATCGTTAAAAAACTGCTTTGAAAATCAAAAGAAAAAAAAATAAATAACAACCACGTCAGTAAACCGACAAGATCAAAATGCTACAGAAATGCTCTTTTATCGTTTGTCGTTTGGACGGAGATTTCCGACGAAAAAGTTGTTAACAGACGGCGGAGGAAAGCGCTAATCATCGTAAAACCGATTGATTTTTCGATGCGCCCGGAACCGAATGTGCAAATGTAAAAAATTCGCGCGCATAGTCAAGAGTTAACGTTTGTCTTTTGATTGTTTAACTCGTTAACACTGCCCGGCACCGGGTCAAAATAAAAGGTGATAATATCGTTGCAATACGGTTATTATGTATGTTTCTCTATTGATTTATAATAATGTACCGTAATCGTAATGATATTGGCCCGGTCGGTTTCAAAAAAAAAAAAAAATAATAAAAAAAACAATAACATATTATAATAATATAATGCGGTCTGTTCGAAAACGTCGACGTAATAACGAAATTAATTTTACCGTCATCGCACGCGCGCGTGCGTACGTGTTTGTAATCATATAATAATAATAATATTATTATTATTTTATTATGTTGAACGCGGGAGATTTCCATTGTCTTACGTCGGGAAAAAAAACAACAGACGGGGCTGTACGTCGTCTCGGAACGTCTGCGACACTACACACGAGCGTTATAAAAATACAATTGTTATTATTATAAATGATCTGTGATAATTTGTCGGATGTTTACCTATAGTTGTTATCAATATTCGATACCAGAGTCGTATAAAGAAACAAATATAGCCGTTAAATTATCTAGATAATGATAAATAACCGGAAAGATTTATCAAGATAAAAAAAAAAATAAAAAGATAATTTTGTTCATACCCTGTCAACAAACAAAATGTACTGATTCTGTAAAAATATTTAATAGACGCCTGCAGTATTATACCACAGACGCCTGTAAATAATGAATCTATACATTTAAATTCAATTTTTACAACGGTTACAAGATAAACTAAACCATTTATATATGATAACCCTATCTCGACCCTTACTCGAGTAGATAACCTACACAATCGAAACCTGAACAATGATAAGTAATAAAATTGTGGCATCTGAGCCAAAAAAAAAAAAAAACTCATTTTATTACTTGGTTATTAGCCATTAGGTTAATATCTGAATCGTTATTTAAATAATTTACATCATTAAACTTAATCAGCGGATTCGATCTATCTCGAATATATTTTGGCCTCGGTAATATGGCCATCACCTTAAAAATAAATTCATCGTCACTTGTTGATGATGAGAATAACAAATCCATATTTTAAGTTAGGTTATTCGAATTTAGCAATAGGTATATAAATTCAAAAAAAAATAAAAATATCAGAAATTTCGGCAATACGAATAACACTAATAAAATAATAAATCGTTCTGCAAAAAGTTACAGATACGAATTTGGTTCTGTAAATTATCGTCGGTTGAAGGTCCGTAAATAATTTACAGGTTAATAAATAATACAGAACGTTTGTGCAACTCGGTCTACAAACAATAAAAGCGCACAAGATTCGTTAAACAACTATAGATTTCGCATCGTAAAGGTTGTGTGATTGATACAACTAAATCGAATCATACTTGAGAACATAGATAAAAATATATTTGACCTATTATTTCTGATATACGGGAAACAGACCCATCGGAAGACCGAGAATGAGGTGGGAAGATGTAGTGAAGAAGGATGTGGAAGAACTAGGAGGAGAAACAGACTGAAAGGTCGCGAGCAACTGATCGGATTGGATACCTGGATGTATGATGGTCCTAGAGGATACAATCATAATCGTAAAAAAAAAAAGTCTATATGCGGTTTAAAAAGATTTACCCAGATAATTCGATTATACTTCTTATATGACGATCTAGACAACTTATTCCTCATTTATTAAGATAAGATAAAAGATAAAAATACACTTGGTTAGATAATGTATATGTACATAAATATATCTGGATAAAATACAACACTGCAGGTTAAACGAGATGATTTTCGTTATTATTGTTATATTTTTCTTTTATATCATAATCCAACAAACGAATCCACCAGTTATAGAAAAAGGGAATTTCAGTAAAGATATTTAAACGCGGATATTGAAATGCGAATTTTAAATAGGCATTTCCACGAAAATTACTTGGTATTGTGATTTGCAAAGGTATTTGTACATTAAACCAAACAATATTATTAATTACGTTAAACATGTTTGTAACCATTAAAACTGTTTTCCATATTATTAAAATAACATATCGCTTTACGAATACACCGTATTGAAAATCAGTATTAAACTGGTATTAAACCAGTAATATTAAAATGATATTATATATTAAAAAAAGAACATCCTGTTGATGGGTGTGCTACCGATGTAGGTGGGAATTTGAGATGATAGGGTGTACACATGGAGTTATTTAATTTATATCTGTATAAAACAATAAATCATTGCGGACGAAATACAATTCTGAGCTAAGTTCAGTTAAACGTGTTTTAAAATACCGTAATCTTTTACGATTCACGTCAAAATGTGTGAACTTCAGACATGTATTTAAAAAAAAAAAAATACTAAATTAAGAACAATTTTTATTAATTTTGTTACCGCTAATTACAATTAAAAGGCGATCTTAAAAAACACACACTTGTTACAAAAAATTAATTACACAGGGGACACAAAAAATTATTTTTAAGTCCATGACATATGTAGGTTTTACAACACACGGGAATTTCACCGATTCAAATTATAATTATAATTTCCGTTTGGTCGAACAATTTCATCAACATTAAACGATACAAAAACTAAAAAAAAATGTAAAACGCATAAAAACAGTTAAAAAATGAAAGAAAGTTTTAAAATTTTACCACGTCCATAAAAGGCTAATATAAATATTTTTTAAATATTTCAGGTATTTTAAACGAGGGTTTTTTTTAACCAAATTACAAAAAAAAAGTAATAATAACAATGATAAAAGCGCAAATAGGTAATGAAAACGTTAACGCCGTTAAAACTTTCCCGTTTTCAATAAGTATTTTCCGTCATTAAGCGATTCCATAACGATACTTGATTGAATCAAAATCAATTTCATACGAAACCTATAAAATATATCACCCTGTATATTTATATGTACGTATTCCCGCTTTCCCACACAAGTATACGCACCCATTTAAAAAACATGCATACAGATTTTTCGTTCGTTTCGACAGAAAATATTATAACATTATTATTATTGGAACGATTATGATTGGACGTTAAACCGAATACCGTCTGTATTCTGGCGCGATATCTAAATGTATATATTTTTTATGAGCTAGTTTTTTTTTTTTTCGTGTATGAATATTGTTATAACATAGAGATGATACATGCACGATATACTCGTAAAAACAAAAAAAAAAACTCGTACGGTTATGTTTTTTTGTAAAAGTTAAAATTTTGTTTTGTAGTTTTTTTTTTTTAACGAGCGTAGTAATTAATTCTATTCAACCATTGACCGACCGGGTATTATATTTCTATTTGTCTTCGGAGGGCCGGCGCATTCATGACACGAAAATAATAATAATTACTGGAAAAAAAAAAAGAAAAAAAAAGTTTTTTCACATTAGCCACTGTCAGCCAGCCTGCCGATTGCGTATAGCACTGCTGCGGAATATTATTATTAGGTTTATTTTTTTGGTCATTTAAAAAAAAAAAAAACAAAATTTTCACAAAATCGCTGAAAAAAAAACAAACAGTACACAACCGTCCGAATAACCAAAATAAATAAACAATTCCGGCGAGCATAAGTAAAATATAATAACAACTGCATTTTGTCATCATCATAATATTGTATACTTATATCAGCGTCAAAGTGCTCTGTGGACTCGTTTTCAAGCGCGTTGACGATATAGGCCCTTCCCCCTCCCCTGTGAATGTGGCCACTGTATAACATAATATGTATTTTAGATTTCGAACGGAACAGGGAATGTTTAATATGGTTTTGATGGCTATGATGTGCACTCTATGCCTTTTTTTGTTTTTTTTTTTTAGCATTTTGCGCACAGTTAATGTATTGAGGAGGTCATTTTTTGGGAATTCCTTTTTCTGATAACGAGAAACCCCTGTTCTGACCGTAAGAAAAAGACTCAAACA